ACACTTTTTTTGTGTTTTAATTCGAACAGACATTGACGGGTGACGAATGTTATTGCTTAATTTAGTGCCGTAGGTGAGCTCTTCCAAATGCACTGAAGAAAATTGATGAAACCAATAATTATCTGTTTGCGCCCACTGTGCCGAGTTATGTAAGTTATAAGAAAAATAAATTCATGGTCGCAAATAAAAGTGAATAAAAAATATTTTTCTCGTTGGATTTAAATTTTTTTGAACTTTTAGGTGCGAGCACCAAAACACTCTTTCAAGCCAATCTTCGAAGAAGCCCATAAGGGTACAAAATGCAGCGAGAACTCTTTCAAACCACACTCTTCACAGATAGCGCTCGTTTCGTTCAACAGGAACGACAGTGATCCCGAAGCTTTCCACTTAAGGTAGACTAATTACCACATGCCAAATGCTCCTTTTCCAATAGACCTTTCCGGAAATATGTGGTGCCCCCAGTGTGTGCTTTACGAATTGTGATGTTCAGACGTACGGCACGTAAAATTATCCAAGAAGCGAAGACGAAGCTGACGTTGGTTTGACAGTTCGTGATTTTAAAACCCAGAGTAGGCAGAAGGAAAGCAAAACAGAGTATGTGATGGCCTTCTTTTCTGTTCGCTCAATTTTTTGCGTGCCTCAACAATAAGAAAAAAATGAATCGTGCTTCTACCAGCATATACAAAGCGTTTGAGCCGGCAGGAGCGTACATCTGAACAGCCCCACAATACCCCTCGTTGCAAGGTCTCCTGGGGTTTTCTGGAAAGTCCTATTAAAAAAAACTTCTACTCAAGCGTCTTCGAAGGCAAAAAAAGAAAAGAAATCGGCGATGCGCAAAAGTGCGCAGTTTCCCAAATATTTTCTCTTACAAAGACCAAAACATTGCGAGCTTGAGATTTGCGTTTGCTGATTGCAACATTTCAACATACAACGTTTCGGTTATCGGCCATGCAGAGAAGCACCACTGTTATCCAAATAGTCTCGCCCACAAGGACCAAAACATTGCGAGATTAACATTGGGGTTCATGAGAGATGCAACATCCCGATACTACGTTTCGATAATCACAATAGCCACGATAGGCCATCTGAACGGAAGAGATTGGACTAGAACACTACCACCTCATCCCTACACCGTCCCCATCACTCCCCCCACCCGAGCGGCCTTCGAAGCAGACTGCATTCGTCGTGGTGTGTGGCCCCCTTCGAAACGACGCTGCAGTAAGGACACCAAAGAGCACGCGTCTCCCAGGAGACCTGATTTCTGGCGGCGTCCCTTCTATCTCTCGCCCCCTCCTCTTCTCGGTCTTCTTCTGTGCCACCGCTCGTTGGTCCCCGTTGTTCGAGCGGTGGAGACAATGGTCGAAGGCGGTTCTTGGCGACGGCACCGCCCCCGCTTCCTTCGTTCAGAGCGGCCGTCACGCCGTTGCACCGGGCTGGATATCGACCGGCCCGCGTATCGCGACTGCAATTGCACGCGCCGAGGAAAGCCGCTCCTTCGGCGTGCCCTGCCTGCCCTGCCGCCGGCAAGCCTCTTTTGGGTCCCCGGGAGAGCATCGAGCGAGCGAAGAGCGCCGGCATTGAGAGTGAGGGGGACAGAAACCACCCGCGAGAGGAGAATAACGCCACCGAGCATTCGGTTCTGATGTCGCGTTGTCGCGCGTTGAAAGCTATAATGGCGATCTATTTCTTTCTTTATTATTATTATTTTTTTTTTTTTTTTTGAGGCCAGGAGTTTTTTTTTTTTTCTTTTTCTTTTTTTTTTGATCACGCTTTGCTTTGGGTTTTGGAGCTCGGTGACTCTTGAAAGTGAAAGGTTTTGCCGCGGGGACGTTTATAAGGGGTCATCCACGGGTTACCGGGTTGTGGGTCGTTGCTCGCAGCGCCTTGCCCACAACTACATATAGCTCCCATTTATTGCCTACCAAGAGCAACGATCTTAATTTGGGCGCACTGCGAGTTGAACGTGTATAAATCGTGTATTTCTTCCAGTTTTGTTCAACGCAGAAGATGAGTTGCAGCTATAGTGCCGAGCACGCGCTGCTACCAAGGAGCATCAGTATGGCACCCCGTGAATACCGTTTATACAAAACGAGGTCGGTCAGCCTTTAGACGGGAAGCGTGTGTTTCGTTGTCACAGCGGGAAAGATTGGCCAGTATACTGTTCGTCGTCGGCTCTGAGATACACGCACGCGAGGAAGGTTTCACCTCTAACCATCTCATGGACTAGTTTGTCGCTATGCCACTTAAACCGCGGTCTCGCTGGTCATACATCCTATGAAAGAACGTCTACAAACGCCGTCTGATGCGTGTTTCTTCCACGTATCACTGTCACATTGGTCATACTATAGCCTCGTCTATACTCACAAAGCCTGGCAGTTTGACGACGGAGCCACGAGTGCCCGGTCGCAGATTTGGAGCGCGAGGATCTGGTAGCAGAGAGCATCAAAGAGCCATTTCTCAAGGAACCTGGACGTCAGCCCACAGCTTTTGCAGCGTCCAGGACCCGAAACACACTTGTTCGCTCGGGAGAAGTGTGCTTCGGCGTCTCGCCGCAGGAGGGCGCCAGTCACGTGGCTCTCCTCTCGTCCTTTGTCTGCTCTCCACCTTTTCCATTTCGACGGCCGCTTCTCGTGGCGATCTGCCAGGCATTGTCAGCATATAGGAGGCTATGGTCATACAAAAGCTGCCTGCAGACATCTTTTTCGAAGCATGTCTAAAGCAAACACATTTGCTTCGAACATGCTTCAGGCATGTCCGCAGATGATAAGTGCCTCGTCATGTCTGCAGCGAACACTGTGTACGATGTGTGAGTGGTGACTGCTGCTTTACGAGTCGGTGCGTGTCGACGTGGTATTTCATCTTACAAACCTCTTCAGTGTCGGTCGCACGGTTGCTTCAACCCCAGTATTCGTAAGGAAAAATCGGTATATATACATATATATATATAATTATAACGTGTAGCGTAACGATAAAATAATGACAATAAAATTAGAACACGTAACTCTAACAAACGTCTCAAATGAAGAGCCCATTCAGTCGAATGTTGTAACAAGCTCCTAGTTCTAACGTGGCCCACGTACATCCGTCGATACAATATTTGGCGCGTATATAGACACTGGATTTGTTTTTCCCGAAAGTACTTGCATGCTTGCACAGAGATGAAAGGACACATAGTCAATGAAAGTTTTGTACTGCGCCTTAAGGAACGCAAGTACGTAGATCAAGCTAAAGAAAGTTCTCCAATATGTATCGACAATAATTAAAGCTCATGTATAGGGTAACCATCTTGCAATCCGGAAATACGTAACTCAACGAACGCGTAAAGCGCGTTTCGTTGCAAGGCTCCTGTGCAGAATACAGAGATGCACTCTCACGTAGATGAAACCCTCGAATATAAGCTGTTGAGACAAAATAGTAAGACGTATTTTGACCAGGAGCTCTTTTTCACTCGAAATATAACAGCTCATTATGCCATCACTTGACTCAATTTATTACCTCGACAAAAAAAAAAAAAAAAAACATATTTGATCAAAGTAATAAATCGTCCACGATGTGCGCTGTTTGCTTAGTATAACTGAACGATACTAAAATAATGCAAGCATATATTGGTGCTGGTTGCAACATTATAGTCGGTGGCAGGTCAAGAACGAAGTAGAAGCTCCTGCCACCTCTTTCTATTTTAATAGTGCGAACGGTGGAGAGGAGGCGACCTCCTCTCCACCGTTCGCTCCGCCGAAGTGGAAAGGGGTGGGACGAGCTTCTACTTCGTTCTTGACCTGCCACCAACTATAGTGCATCGTACTTGGTGTGCCTAATTGGCTCTCGCTAGTTAGCAAGCAGAATAATTTATGGGCGCTGTTTTTTTTACTAGTAATACGTGTTTATTAAAATTGAAGACTAGCTTTTTTTTAATATAAGCAGGACTGTAGGGCCGGGAAAGAGCTACCGTCGACCTTTTAGAAGCTGTGCAACTTGCAAACCAGGGACAAATACACGACAAACGGCTATGATCTTGACTGGTTTCCATTTTGTTGCATCCGTTGAAGTAGTGCCATAAAGCAGTGCGAATGAAACAATATGCTGGGGGTACTTTGCTAGTGCGCCCCTGAGCAGTGATATCTGGGAAATTGGCAGCGTGCCTAACCATTTTTAAGAAAATGAAAGACCAGTGCTCTCATGTGCATTTCCGATAATGATAAACGTAAGTACAAAAGCAAGATATGAAACTTATGTAGGAAATCCTTAATTTTACATATTTTCGACGTGGCTCAACTGTGCATGACACCAGAAAGGTAAAGACGCATATTATAAATGTTACCGCGAATAAAAAAAAGAAACAAAAAAAAAAAAACGTGACCCATGAAACATTTAACGATGTTAGAACTTCGGTTATTGTGTTAGTTTAACCATTGGAAAGTAACATGTCTTGTCAATTCAAGTTACCGATATAAGCTTTCTATAAAAGGAAGCTTTGCCTGGCTCGTAATAATATGCCGCGAACTACGTAAAACTGTGCCTTTGCGTATTCGACTATGCTTGGTGGCCAGCCTCGCACTAGACACAGAATGTCGCAGCCAACGTAGGATCGTTCCACATGTTTGCATAATGCGCAAGCTGCCTCAGGTATGTTTAAAGGAAGACTCAAATATGTTGGAAAGAAACGGGACATTTTTACTTATGCACACAAAATGAATTCGTAATAACAAAAAAGGTTAAATAATATCCTTTCGTAAACAAAAGCGCTGAATCAACTAACTTAGGCCCAACAATCACTTGGAATAGTTTTCAACTGCACCAAGCCACTGAGAGTTTACGTCGAAACATCGAAAGCTGACAAAAATGATAGGACAATGTCCTGTAAACATTGTAAACTGGAGGATAGGCATCAATTGTGTCTTGTCAACAAATGCTATAGTATGTTATAGACGTATAGGACAGTTCAGAATACAAGAAAAACAGAGTACAAGTAAGCGACGGCACAGAGGCTGGGCAATGTATACCTGGGTGGTAGGAGTGTGGGTTTGGACTAGTTTCAATGAGCGTTGCCCCGCTGTTGACAAGGGACTTGACTTCTTGCATGCTGATGGGCGTCAGTGGGGTCAGCGAATTGCTGCCTGCTTGAAACGAGACGCACACACACAAACGGGGAACACAGGACATTAGGAAAACAAGCCAGGGTTCCGCGACACGCTACACGCCATAAGCTGTGTTTACTTTTTTTTTTAAATTTTTTTTTACTCGATTTGTGCAAGCCTTAGTTTATCACGCTACTATCTACAAATGAAGAAGGAACGCTGGTCACGTAAAGCAAATTATTCATTGTTCTTCCGATTAAGATGGAGTCTACATAAACGTTGGGTATGAGGCTGTCTCGCGGGACCCATTATTAAGCTCTCAAAGCGCCTAATAGTTTGCGGAAATTTTAAGCATTTAGACGATGAGACATCAAAAACGTGGAAACACACGTTTTCAAGCTGTTAATCCAGCATGTTTATTCTACAATTCAAGTGAGTAATTGTATGCATCGAAACAATCGGGACAAGCGGTTAGGCTAGTCGCTCATCAAACGCTTGTCCCACGTTGTCTCGCCAATCAACTAAACACGAACAGTTGACTTTAAAGCGTGACCAGCGATCTTTACTGCAACGAGAAAAAAACAAAACTAGGTCGGAATCAAAATACGTAACATCTGGACCAAAATGAAAACAACCGCATTGAACGGAAAACAGCTAGAGAATGCGTAAGAAGTGCGAAAAAGAAAGCGTGCGCTGTGCAGTGCAGAAAAGCGGGTGCAAAAGTGTCGCTGCCGCCACCAACGCCGATCACCAGGGTACTTGGCCAGTGTTAGCTAGAGAGCCATCTGTAGCCAGGTATGGTCTGTTCTTGTTTCAATACTCGGTTTCACTTTACTATGAACCGGGTGCTGCAAGAGCCATCCCAGCCAATCCAGCGCCATGGACCTGTCACGTGACTACGCGGCCCGCGCGGCACTGCGCTCCTTGTTCAAGTCACGTGACAGACAGGCGGCATTGGATGGGATGGCTCATAGCGGCCTCCGCGGTCCATCCTAAGGCGAAACGGAGTAGGATGGGCTCGTGCACCGCGCGGGAAGGGGGCGTGAAGAAAGGGGGAGGAGGATGGGCATTCAAGATGGCCGCCCCGACCTCGCGACAGCTGCTTCTCGTGTGAAGTCATGAGTGAAATAAGCGTGCCGCTCGGTTTAATGGGCTAACGCCGACAATAATAATGAAAAAAAAAGAAAGAAGTATGCCGCATATTTTTGCGTACATACCACTCGGGTGTCAAGGTTGTTTATTGACTTTCCTTGTAGGGTTTAACTTCAGTTCGGAGTCGTAGCCCCAAAGCTGTCGGTAATATTTGCAGAACTCAGTTTGCCTGTAATTACGCTGAGTAAACTGTTGTCCCTAGCTGTAACAAAAAAAAATAAAAAATCCCGGACAACGTTTTTGCGCCTTTTTTATGGGGAAATTAATTGATGTTGACTAAATTGCTCGGCTTTGAAGTAATATTCTTACCATCATCATATAGGCCGTTTTTATGATAATCAAGAGTAGTTAAAGCCTTCCTCTAGTCATTAGTGTTCCAAAAATGAAGCGCACAAACAATATTTTGAAGCTTATGTTATTCTCGAGTTTTCCACAAATTGTATATAAAATATTTATCAACCCTCCAGATTTATTTCATTGATATATAGGTTGACATTTTGTTGTTTTATTTTTTGCCTGGAAACCCTAGCAGTCAGAGGTCAGTAGTTAACGTTGCTTCGGCTACTTTATAATGTTGCTATGACATATTTTTCTTTTGTTATTTGTCATTTACTGTATATGAAATAAGACATACAGTATCAAGCTGGGACACAATATGTCTATAAATTTAATTAAATTAGTATACCAAGAATTCTGGTGGGAGAATATAAGTATCACATAAATACGCATTAGTGTAAATTATACCTGGTTTATATATATATATATAAAGCCGGTCTTTCCAAGTTAATCTAGCGCAATAACCATCAGCAATATCAAATCATGTGCACGGATACTTGTTGATGCCACGCCGTCCAGTCGGACATTCGATGGGAACTAATTTTAAAAACAACGGCCCACACAACACAACCCATCGCTTAGCTTATCTCTTCACGGCAACTTACTCCTAATATAAAGTCCTCCTTAAAAAAAGGATACTAGGGATAATTTATGAAGACTTACTCGGATGTTATGGACGGCTATACGACGATACGGGAGAAGGAGGTTCCCCGAAACTGCCTCTAACGAACTTCATCAGCGTTCAATTTCCGTGGAAACAAAAGCGCACGCTGGGTGTGCTCGAAAATTACCCCCCGATGCCGATAAATTGCCTCTTCTCCCTAAAGCTATTAAGCTGTTTCTTCTCAAAACCGTTCAACAATTCCGCTGATTGATTAAAAGCAAAAAAAGACGCGAAAACTAAAAGCAAACTATTTAGGACCGTTTTCTTTTCTTTCTTTTTTTTAATATTATTCGCAGTGCATGCTAGAGCAGCGCGTGTATTCGTTTCTCTTGTTTCTTTGCTTGAGTCTCGTTTCTGAAAGGTCGTTTCCGTTCTTATCTCAAAATTTCAGCAGGTTTGGGGAATTAAAGAGCCCGCGCTCATTTGTTAGGGCCGTCATCCCTTCATCGGCGCCGACCTCGGCAAACTTGCTGACTGCGGCATGATAAGGGAGCGGGCTCTTGATGACCTCTCCATTAGGCTCGTGTTTCCGCTGCTTTCTTCGCCTGAATTTATTCTCCATTATTTTCTTACAATATAACTTTTTTTATCTTCCCTTTTTTTTATTGCCATATTTCTCTTTCGTTCCGCGGGCAGCGGAGTAAACGTGAATTTTGCGATATTTCCTTTTACGAGCATCGTGAAGACGTGAAAAAAGAAAAAAGGAACTAAACCGTAAATATTTGTTAATGCAATCTTTATTGTTGTAATTTATGCGTCGTATGGGCTTTGCACAGCGAAACAAGTTCACCGAGCCGATGTCTTAGCTATGTTGGGTCCAGACAGGCGTGTTAAAAGATTTGTTTTATTCATGTTTACATAGAGGAAATCGGAAATAAAAGTAGGTTGACATATTTCGTAGTATTTACGCCCCCAGATATTCATAGCCAGCAAATTCTTCTAGCACACAGCTACTAAGTGCTAAGCTACCAAGCACGCATTTCAACGCGGAAGGTGCCGCGTGTCTATCATGTTATATAATGACATTATTCACTGTCCATCTCCGAATTTGTCCATTATGTGCCTGCTGGGCCAAACCTTCATTCATGATCTTTTATCTCGCCTTTGTGTTTCCTTCCGCGCCCTCCTGGACCAACACCTCGTCTAGATATGCAGAAAAAGACTAAGAAAAAGACGTGGGAGCCATCTGCCGAATGATAATCCAATTATTCGCACACGGATGCCATCGGCTGGAATCGACGAAGCCAGCAAGCTCAGCGAGCACGTGCGCAGACAGAAGGCCACAGCAAACCAGGGCCAACAAGATAAAGCCGTCGGACGTTTCCTCCTAAAAACAAATCTCACTCCTATTGCTTTTTCTTCTTGTTTCTTTTTTTTTTTTTTTTTACTATTAACAGAGTTTAGGGAGGCGATTGACGCATAAGCACGCGACCCGCAACGGGCGAAACAAATCGTTTCTTTTTATATATATATTTTAATTCTTTACTACGTTGCAGAGGCGATTCGCTTGGCGTGCGGCGCCTCCCGATGGGTTCTCACGAAATTCGCTTCGTCGCGACGGGTTAGGCTTAGCTACGAGGATGCCCAGTCCAGCGGCCGCTGGAACAGGGGAGTTTTTTTTTTTTCAAATAATAAGCCATAGCCCAGGACATCGCCCCACCCGCCGAAGTGAGCAGGCTTTGGAGGCAAATTTGTGCGTTTTTCTTTTATTACTGTAGCAAAGTAAGAGGCAGTCGTGTTAGTATATATATATATAAATATATAATTAGAGAGAGGGTTACGGCCACATCGCCCAAATAACAAGTCCTTTGTGTTGAATCTCTGGCGTCACATAGCGAAGGCCAGCGCGAGGTCACGCTGGCGTTCCCTGCACTGGCCTGTACGAATTACAGATTTTGGAAATCGTGTAAACTCCTTGACCCTATGGTGTCCTGGTTAGTAAATCACGACATCAAACAAAATTTTATGAAATATGTAGAAAAATGCCTCGTCACCTCAAGCAATTCGAAACTCTATCGGCGCCACGCTAAAGTAATCACTGCTCAGTGGCACCAGCCGCTGCCCGATAAAAGCAGAGCCGTAGAGCCACAGATTGAAGAGGCTAAATCAAGAAATATATTTTCCATAAAAGCGATCCGCCAGGGAATATACACACAGTGCTTCTTTGTTGCTTTATCAAAAACGTACAAAATATATTTTGCGCAGCGCATAAACTATGTTCCAAAACAGTTTTATTTATTATTTTTTTTTTTTGTCGAGGTGGCATTGCAACGAGCATGGTGACATTCGCGCTCCGCTGGTTCATTTCGTCTCACAGCAGCCTAGTCTCGTTGATCACGTTGAGAAATATACATATGTACCTGAAACTGGATGGGTTAATGTATGTTCTTCTTGGGCTATTTGTTCTAAACACGCGTGATTTATTTTTAGGCAATTTTATGCATATTTTGTTGTCTAGTGAAATCTGGCGAAATTTCAATATGAGCTTGATGTCGCGACTACCTTCCCACCTTGCAACGCTGCCTCAAATGACATCGATCTATGAACCTCCTTTTCGTGCCACTAAAACTAAACTCAGCAAAACACTAAACAAGACAGATGTTGATTAATTACGAAAATGAGACACGCGATGCAGTGGCTTACTGCCGTTGTTAGGATCGAAATGTTTATTTTTTACTCACACTACAGAGCAGTCACATTGAGAAGGGATCAACTGGTGTAAACTTTAGACTGAACCTTACCGAAATTCAATTGCGGCAGCAATAACACAAATAAAAAGACATCTTTACAATAACCCGTCTGCAGCGGGAAAATTCAGCCTTTGCATAAACGATCCCTTGTAAGGCGTCTGTGGTTTGCTTTGACCAACGAAGGGCGCATGTGTATATAAAAGACTGACTTTCCGGGAACACTCGCTACTTCAAAGGGAGTCACTCCGAAGCAATATATTCCCATGGACAAGTTCCAGAGAAGAAATGCGAGTACAACTTAGCCTCGTGCCCGTGCACTGCGCCATTTTGCTAATAATAGACACGGATTCGCGGAACATTCACGAGCGTGTCTGTGGTGAATGTTTGGGGCGAGTTCAAACATTTACGTCTGGTTGGCAGTTTCTTCTTTCACTAGTTTCGGCGAAAAGCGTCTGTAGGCGTACAGAATGAAGACCTTGTTCATCGGACCGTTTTTGGTTGTGGTCATGATTCGACTCTTCTCAAACATCAACGTTTTTGCAGTGATAATCGTCACACATAGTGCACTGCTTTGCATGCAGTGCCTAATATGCTTCACAATGTTTACTTTGCTTGCCTGCAAGCTTTAGTTTCTCGTTGCAAATGGTTTGTCTATATATGCCTACTTTTCAACCCGGTAATAATAAAACAATACTATTGGAAGTGAAAAAGGTAATTCTAAAGTAAACACCCAGTTTTAAAGCGTTAAATATCAACTGTCTGTGTTTACAACTATCCGAAGTCTCGTACTTGCTAGCGTGCAAATGTTCAAATATGGTTTGTAACTATTATTTACTTTTTTGTTTCACATAGCATATTAAAAAATAATTATGTTATGCAAGAAAACGACACTATCCAAAAACCGTTTTTAGTTGTTTTAGTTGTCAACAATGAACAGTTTTATTTTTCAGCTTTCAATTAGGAAAATAATTAATCGATCATTAGGCTTTTTAACCGAGTTTAATGAAACATATTGTAGGCTTCACAGTTTATTTTGTTATCCACAATTACTAGAAAAACTTTTATGCCCGAGTAAGTTTTATGTGTATCATTAACATATTTATTTTATGAAACAATATGAAGAATTCAACCTTCGGTACTAATCGCAGTTTATTATATCTATACCTTTGATGACAAGAACAACATGTACAGTCAGAAACTAAATAGCTCCAAGCGAGCGAGCGATTTTTTCTGAGGAGCGCTATCCTGGCGGTTTTCCTTCGTACTAGTGCTGACGTCAGGACTCGCTCATGTGAAGCAGACAGGCGGCAGTCTATCAGCGCAAAAGAAGTGCTGTTATCATCCGCGTCTTCTCAGCGTGGTCTGATTGAAGGGGGAAAAACGCCCGCTCGCTTAGAGCAATTTAGTTTCCACGTAACTGTGTACGTATGTGCAGCCTGTCAGTACAGATCTGTACATATAAACAAAAAGGTTAAGCGCATTAATGACAAGGTCAGCTGAGCGATTTAACCGATCTCTTGCAGTCCTCTTCTTAAGTTGCGTTCTATCGAATGTAAGCTTTGACTGAGCTAAATGTGCGTGGATACCCCCCTCTTAAGAGCGCTTGATATGAGCCATTTTACTTCACCTTAAACTAATCCTTTACCACACGTCAACGACGTAACTTAATTTCAAGAAAACACGTTATTTTCTAATGTAGAAACGGGTAAGAAACAACATAAAGCGCATTTCTGATATGGTATTTAAGATATATGGGTACGCCAACCAAGTATCCGTAAAGCAGTCATTGCTGCGTATGTCGAACTGAAATGTCGCGTACAATTATCAAGTTCCAAAGGGACCTTTTTTAGAAAGTTTGTGAGGAACTTTGGGTGCAGAAGCGAGTTCGAGTGTGCGTTTAGAAACGTTAGTACATCGAAAAAAGAGAAGGCAGTTAGTAGAGTGTAGTGCTTCCAGCAGATCCTTGTGCAACATCCCGTCACCACTTCGCAGAAAGATCGAGAGTTGATCGTATTAAAACTTTGAATTAAGATTTGTTTTTTTCGTAAAGGCCCGGAAAGAATCCGGCAATCCGCGTGAATTAGGTTCGCGCTGCTTTGTTAGACATTAAAACAGAGGCACAAAATTCACACTTCAAAAATTAGAGAAAAAAAACGCAGCTCAATATTACTGTTACGATTTTCATCTACATCTGGCGGGTTTAATGACGGTTGCAATATAAATTGTAATTGAAATGCTTGTTAACAGTATTAGGTATTTAACCGTAATCACTGATTTGATGATTAGATGTTAAATTATTAGAGTTACTGACAACTGCTCAATCTTTAAATTTTGTAACAGCATTGAGTTGCATTTTTTTTAAACTCAAACACTGGAAAAAATGTTACAGCTAGCGGACTGTCTTCTCACATACTCAAATATAAATGCTAATACACATTTTACACAAAGAAAAGCGAATCTGAATAAAATTTCTAGGGGAATAAGAACACTCGGAGGTACACATTTCGATTGAATTAATCCCATGCTATGTTAAACTGGACTGTCTAAAATGACTCGCGAACATAAAAGAGATGGCAGTCATAGGGTTGTTCCCTGTGTTCTAAGGTTCCTATGAGGAGAAAAACTGAACAATGTATCTACTGCGGATATTAAAAATAAAAATGATACTCCTAATTTCTTTTTTATGTTCAGGAGTTTTTTTATTTTTTTGTTTAAGCTTGAATTTGTTCATTTTTGCAAACCTCGACTATTGCGAGAAATGCATCGGAAAATTAACGGTAGCCCTGCTCAAAGTGTTATAAGCGCATAAAAAAATAGACGTCAAATTATTTTCGAACGCATTTACATTTATTTTTGTGATTGAGGCCCTTTCTTTATATATTTAATGCTAATGGTAGATAAATTGTTCCAAGGGCCCTAAACTCGTCAAACACAAAGTTGGAGCCGACGTTGACGGAGTGCGCCGATTGGACAATCACGACGATGACTTGGCGTTTTTCTTGCCGACGTCCAATCGGCGCGCTCCGCGAACTTTCGGCTACAACTTTGTGTCTGACGAGTTTAGGGCTCCAAGAGTAAGCACGCGAGGCAGCCATCGTCAAAGCATTCTTCACTGAGGTACGCGGAGCCAATAAAAGGTTTTCTGCATGAGCCTATTAGCGTAACGTATTTAAACTAATTTGCAATCGCGCCGCCACTGCTGTCCTATCATCGTTCTACTTTTTTTTTAATTCCTTCCAAGTATTCTGGAAACCTACCTCTTCTAATTAATATTAGCAAAAAAAAAAATAAAGCTTTGTACTTGCACCTTGAATGGCAGTCGTGATCGGAGAGAGGGCTCGGAACAAGCACGACCGGGCATCTGGATCGAACGAATCACTAACTTATTTAAAGACTCGGTAAGCAATTCAGAATATTAGAGGACTAAAATATACAACCGGATGATCGAATTTCATCATCAATCATTAATATGACTATTTATTGGCCATAAGAAAAAAGGCTATACTCCGTTTCACTTTAAGTCCGACCGTAGCCGTCGGTATAACGTTCGATGGAGCCAATCGAACAGCGCCAAAAGAATGTATCGTCACTGCGCTTGTCGTCTTTGTGTCTTTGTTACTCCCAGTTAAACCAATGAATAAATAGGTGGATGTTAATGGCTATACCTTTTGTAATGGGCGGTAGCTTGCGCCACCTAGCCTATGTCTAAAAAGACAAGTGCTATCACGCCCACTTAAAGCCTATGACCCTGCGCTTTTCTTCTTCTTTTTTTTTGCGCCTGATTGGTTTGGTTGGTGATAGCAAACGGACAAAAATACGACGAGCGCCGTGACGATGCATTTTTGGAGCTGCTTGCATCAAATCGTAGCGTCGGCTGGGGTCGTACTTAATGTGAAACATGAAGCGTGGTAATACCTGCAAGGGTAACGTTGCGGTGGTCCGTTAGTTCTCAGTCTGTGACGCGGGGCCGTGAAATTCGAAACGAAGTTTTTAACATTTTCTACGACACAGTACTAGCCGGGCTTGCTCCAAACTATCCGTCCGATCGCGACCGCCGCCATTTAAAGCGAACGTCCGTTTCGTACGGGAGAACGGGTCGCGTGAAACAACGTCCGAGTGTTGACAGAGAGGAGACTCACCGAGGGGCGGCGAGTAGACAGCCGTGGACTGTGAGTTGATGGTGGTCATGGCGACGTCGTATTCGGCCTGCTTGTCCGCGGAAGAGACGACAGGGCTGAAGGCCTGTTCGAACGGCCCCTGCTGCTGCTGCTGCGGTGGCAGGTGATACGGCGAGCCGTTGCTGGTCGGAAGGTCCGCCATGCCCGCCTTCAACTCGTCCTGTTTGGTCCACTTGGCCCACATCTGTGCGGCGTGGGCAGATGGCTTATTCTATAACCTTCTTAAACAACGGCAAAGATGCCCGCTATAATGGCGCGAGAGTGAACGTCGGTTTACACGTGTGCCTTGACTGTTTGTGCCACGACTTGGAACACGGGAGACTGCGGACGCTTGTGGCAACTGTGCGACCCACGTCGCGCTACGAACGACGTAGCCGATTCAGTGACGTCACTTAACACAGACCAATCACGAGTGAATCAAGCACGATGCTCGCGGGGCTCCTTGATCCGAAATTTGATGGTTGTCCTGTTTAATTAAAACACGTGACCGATCTAAGGAGTTTTCACTAGTGTACGCGTGAGTATGACGACTGTGTCAGACTTAGTTCGATGCTCCATTAATTTTTCGTTAACTTAAGCCGGCAGGCTCGATGATAGCGCGCCACCGAGGTATGCCGATATTAAGCTAACGTGAATATATGCTCACGTGATCCTCGCTTAATGTGACCGAGAGCAGGAACTGCTCGAGTTCAGCGTCTGGTTCAATAAGAAACGTCTATAGCTAATTCATTGTGGAGCGAGGCTATTTCGTGCGGTTTACACCCGTTTATTAGAATAAGTTCGAAACTAGGTAATATTAAATCCCAATCAACTTGAACTTCACAATCAAATTAAGAAGTTCAAGTTCGGAACTTGAACTTCACACTCTGATATGTGTGCATCGCGTAACTTTCTTGCTCGGTCGATTTGTCGTTTGGAGTTCGTATCACCTAATGTGACAATCTCATCGGTCACGTATCGATAATAAGATACGTGATAAATCAAAACATACGACGTTTAAGGCCTATAAACTCGTCAAACACGAACTTCGGCCCGAAGTTGACGGGGTGCGCCGATTGGAATATCATGACGCTAACTTCGCGCTTTTGTCGCCGACATGCAATCGGCGCGTTCCGCGAACTTTTGGCTCCAACTTTGTGTTTGACGAGTTTAAGCCTCTAGCCGTCGTCACACCTCTTTCTGTTCTTTCCCGCTGTATAATGTAAATTAAAAAAAAAAAAAAATTAGACTCACATTTGGACTCAGATTGGAGTAAATCTGATCGCCGTTGTACTGCGCCCTCGCCCGCTTCACTTCGTCGTCGTGGAGGCCGTGCTCACCATTCAGGTCCCTCGTGTTGTCGTGCACTGCAACGAGCGACACGGGCGAGGGAAATGTAGCGGCACATTCAACCATCAAAAGGCCGGCATTCGGACAGCTCATCGAGCCCATTGTAATACGTAAAACCTTTTTGCGAAAAAAAAAAAAAAAATCCTGTGCCATTTTGTGTGTGTGAGACCCAGTATGTAAAGACAAAGTCAACGTCGGCAATGTGCGGCAAGTTTTCTCCAGGTCTTTCAAAAAAGTATTGCTTCGAAGCTACCAGACAGGTAGGTTGAAGAGGCTCGGCACAAATCTATGAAATCCTCCAATAAACGTTTGAAACAAAGAGCGCGTGTATACTATTTAAAAAAACTAAATTCTCAATTTTTTTTTGTTCGTCTGTGAAAATTAGGGCGAAATTTTTCATGCTTTACTGAGTCCCTTTATCTTTCGAGTCTTTTTATGAGCATTTGTCTAAAACAAAAAAAAACAAAAAACAAAAAAAAAAACGAGACGTACGAGAAAACTGCGGCGATAATGTTCGCGAAAACGTTGCTGAGCGCTTCCTTTAAATATTCTCTTTTTAAAGAAAACGCAATGTCTACTTTTTTTTTTTCAAAGGTGATAAAGCATTAGGCGAAAAGAAGAGACAGCATCGATGCCTATAACGAGCGATATATATGCAAAAGTGTGTAGTGCGCGCCGTGTTATTTTACTAGCGCCCTGCTTCACGCTTCAAGCAGAAAAGGGGCGGTGAAGAGAGAGAGAGGGGGGGGGGGGGGGCGCCAGACACGTGCCTTTGCGCATGCGCATAGCTAATCAGCTCCCCAGCAGACCCCGAGCGCCGCGTGCAATGCACAGCAACGACGTACGCTCGAGTTGAAAAGTTGCGCCCCCTGGGAACCTGCCCTGAAACTATTGGAGGGTTCTGATAAGAACGGGGAGTTTTACACTTTTTTGTCTCGTGTCTTTGCTTTCTACATTTTTCTTTTTATAAACACTGTTTTTTTTTTTAACTTTGGAAGTTTCGATTGCGTGCTAGTGCATGCTGCTTTAAATCACAATAGATGACGCCCCCTCTCGCAGTTTTGGATCACTTTGTCTGCGGGCTTTCCCGCAAATGCGTCGTCGTGCGTTGTGATCTCTGGCTGGTGTATCTCGTGAGTTCTGGATTTCCGCTGCGAAAATTGCTTTCTTTTTATATTCTGGGAGAGGGGAAGAAACTAGCATCTGTGTGATGCTTCCTTTACAATTCATTTGTTTCACTTTTTCTATCATTTGGTAAGTTTTTTTCTTCTTGCCTTTTAAGTTAGAAGAGGAAGAAAGAAAATGTAACGGTGAATCGTTTCGTTGCGTGAAGGATATATCTGCGACTAGGTACGTATACGCGTCGTGCGTAGATGAAAAATGATGGCCGGTGGTGCGCGGTGAAAATTGTTTTCAGTCGCCCCCCTCGCTTGATTTGGAACACGATCTGCGGAGACTTCCCCCGCGTACCCGGATCGTGCTTGCTCTGATCGCACTCTTCAAAAAGCAAATTTTAAATTAGAAAGGAAAGTTCGAGGTGGCTACTCAGACAGTGTGCAGACGGCTTTGCTCCGTCTTCTGAGAGTTATGCCTCTTTTTTTTGTATTTCTAGTTTATTTTTTTTGGACAACTTAATTCGTCCACACGTTCAGCTCTGCACATATGAAACGTGATGTAAATTTCGAGATAGAACGAATATTTTAATCTATCCTACGAAAAAGTACGGTGTCCATACTTTGGTGCATTCAGTGACTTATACCACGATCAGATATTGTAGCAGAAAACTCCATTCGCTTTTTTAGGGCACCGCGTCTCTTCTGGGTAATACAAAAATGTTTATACAAAAAAAAAAGGAACTATGGTTACTTTAAGAGTTATATTTGATTACCATTCCTAAGAAATACGAATTACCGCCTGAAAGTTTCTAGCAATAAATCTATCGTGCTGCAGTAATCGAACAAGCGCAACAGTGTGGGCAGAGTACCCTTGTGAACTACATAACACTGTTTTTTTTTTTTTTTTTACATAATAAAGAAATTTAACAAAACTTGTTGTTCGTGTTAAAGGTCGGTCTGCCTTTGAAGTACGGCGACACTGGTTTACGTTGTAGATTAGTTCAAATTTAGTCTGTGCAGTACGACTGCTAGGTTGGTTTCTTTAACGTGCACCACGCAGTAGTGAATACTCGACCGCACACCGGTATGATGCTCATCCAGAACGAAATGGGCATAGGGGTGGGGATTGAACCCAGGATACCTGGGTTCTGCAGAGCGAGCTTTCGCGTTACGTGCTCCGGCTCAGCCACCGATCTCCCCCCCTCCTTTTAAATTTGTTTTTCTTTTTCGGATAAATGTTTGAGGAATATCAGAGCCGACGTTTACAGACCAGACCGAATGAAGCGCAGATTGAAGGTGAGACCGAAGAGAGAGAGAAGGGAGACAGATAGAGAGAAACGGGACGGTCGCTGCTAATGCGCGCTTAGACCTTGGGAGATCAGAACACCGAAAACCCGGGCGGCTGAGCTGAGAAGGAGAAGTTTGGGACTGAGAAGCGAAAGGAGGGCAAATGGCAACGCTCGCACCCCCCCCTTTACCAGAACCCCCCTTTGACACACAAAGACGGTTCCTTGTTCCTGGAGAACTCTTTCCTCCACGCGTCCCCCGCCCTACGCCAGCGAGGAGTCTGGAGAAGAGGGCTGTTTTAGCCGCCGCACTCCGTTTGAAAGCTCGCCGCTGCTGCTGCGGCAGTCGAGACATCGCGCGATGTCGGAAAGGGCAAGAGCCAGTCGGGACCAGCATCGTCGACTTCGTCTTCGTTGTCGGCGTTGTGCGGCGGCGGCGGTGGCGGCGCGGTGCTTTTCGAGGGGGGAACCTCGGGGGACGGGACGTTGTTAATTCCGAGCCGAGACCTCGGATGAACACCTTCGAGGCAGGGGACTGAGTCGGCAGGGAGCGAACGGCCCGGGCCCCCGGCTTGTGCCGTTTTATTTGCGCGGCGGCAGCCGGGGTCGGGGTTGTGGAATAGAGGAGTATTTGGGAGTTTGCTTTTGCTTCGCTTCTTTGTGGGGGATTCTCGGCGCTGTTAGTCGGGGTTCTCGATGCCGCGCGGGTTGTTTCTTGGTCTGAATAAGTCTCGAGGTACAATTCGTTTCGGCTCGGTGCGGAAATAAAGAGGTGTTTACATCAAACGGGCTCTGATTTTCGTTTCCGAAAGTATCGCCGTCGGGTACGCCTCTTTGTTTCATTATGCTTTTAGTGGCGAGAAAGCAGCGTCATCTGCAAACCACCATGCTAGAGGTGAACCGTTTGTTTACCCTTTCTCTGTTGTCTAGCTTGCTTGTGCTTTTTGTGTTGTTTGTTTTCTTTTTTGCGTGTGCGTTTATTATTAATTGTCTGGTCCTGTAATCTTATAAAATCGTAGGGGGAAGTGAAGATATGTTGTATGGTGCACGCAGCTCAGAAAGACGTTTCCGAATGACAAAATAAAGCTACCAATAACTAGCTAGTGGAACGCAAGTTATGCGCCGAGATGCTGAGGCCTCACCCTCTAGCGACAACTGCCCGGACATGGGCGGCTTTAATCAACTATTTTCTCTCTCTTTCTCTCTCCTCCTCTCCCTCAGCATCTCGGCGCATAGTAGGTGACTGTACTGAGCAGAACGTTTTACGTGTTCAATATCCTATACTTTGTTTCAGCTTAAGTCCGAGCACGGCCGATGTTATGAGCCGAAGGGCATATCAAACAGCGAAAGAGGCAAACGTCATAGCGTGCTCTCTGCAGTTGATAGGACCAGCCGGTATTCGCAGTCTCTTTGTGCGTGCTCCTCCGCCGGCTAGTCCTATCAAGCGCGGAGAGCACGCCATGACGTTGCGCTTTTTGCGCTGTTTGATTGGCCCTTCGGCTCATAACATTAGCAGCGCTCGGACCTAAGCTGAAACGAAGTATAGCGCAGATTTGTTTTCTTCTTACGATGATTGACTGGTTGCGTGCTACAAGGTAAAGCGGACGTGTGAACATTTTTTTAAGAGTGTAATTCGTTCCGCTCAGTCCAATTCTTTTTTTTTTTTTACCTTCCCTGTATTTTCCGTAAGTGCACGTTTTATGTCGATATTTCCTGGACGTTATCACGGCCCATGCCTGGCGGACACCCCTCATTGGCAACTCGAATCGTCACTAGCGTTCGCCCTCCGCAATCCTGCATGGTCGCTCGCTCTATCGCCACTGGGCGGTGACGGTCTTGCGATGCCGCCCCGGTGATTTTCTCCCACGCTAGTGGGGCGTGAAAAGGGGGAAACAATGCGACGGCCCGCGCGGTGCAATAGGGGAGCATGCTCCGGCACCCCTCCCCCAACGCGTTATCGGATCTTTTGACGCGAGCTACTCGCTCCAAATCGGACCAATTTTTCGCCTGTCCGAGCACGTCCACGAAGAGGGTCACGCCGTTTGTCCGTTTGATTGTCGAGTCCCGCCTCGCCTCTGCTGACGCTTCGATCGACGCCGCTAATTCGGAAACGCCGGGTAGTATACGAACGCTCGTTAAACGTGGCACAGTGTTCGCTGCGAGATTCAGTCGCTACGTATGTTCGACTGCCCTGCGTGTTATTGTAGTATCGTGGATGTTCGGCATTTATTTGCTGTGTGAACGCAAGAATAGTGCCACGTGACCTACATGAGCTACATTCGGTAGCAGACTAAAAACGCAGAAGATGCTTCGCCTTCGGCGCGAGCTTTCTGCCATTTTACAACAGTTATGCGCACACGCAGCTGAAGACCGTAGGAAGGCAACGGTGCCGTACTTGAGCGGAGCTTTCACTGCACTGTTAGCTTGTCACCGACTATCGGTAAAGATAAGTTTCGGTGGAATCTTTGAGTTGTTCGTCGCGTTCCTAAAACAACCCCGTCAGAGCGAAGAGTTTGACGTTTCTTTGATCTCCAATAATAAACGTAGACTTCCTCATACTCAAGTGGTAACTTCGAGCGTTTGGCCAATGGTGGAAGGTCCATAAGCGACGATCTC